AAAATCTCTATATTTGAAGTTTATGAGCGTCTTCCCCAACCAGTATTTTGGGATGCAATATTCTAGAGCATTGACATTTGATTATCAATGACGCACTAAGGGCCACGCGCCCGACCTTCTTGTATTCGTATTAATACCTACATCTACGATACAGAATTGTCTTCTCATTTCCATCGGTAACGTATTGTTATACGGTATCCAGCGAAAGTAGTAATCATGTTGAACTACCAGTATTATCGATACTTATACAAAGTGCTGTACGTTAATAATAAATACGCCCCTCTTTTACGTCGAATGGTGGGTATCAGGCGATAATAATCTTCGTAAAATGAGAAAAAGCAAAAAGCTGTCTTCTGCACTTCAACTTATACTCTTTACTGTTTTTGTACGAAATGCATCGCATTTATTATCATTGTTGTCCACGCACAACAAGTTTATGTGAAATTATAATATACTAATTTGGACAACTAAGAATGCGAGGTACTGTATCTGGGAATATATCACGGACAAGTGAAAAGCCTGGAAAATATTTTCAAGTTTCTGAAATGGCCGCTGGGAGCGTAACTGAAATCTTGAATCCAAAAAAAGTGTTGTTTTTGTGAATTACACTATAACCTAACAAAAAATACCTGATCTTTAGATTCAAGAATAATCTGAATCCTTTTTGTTTGACAATTTTTGCTATACCTCTAAAAATGAAGTTTGTTTGCGCAAAACGCCCTGTATCTTCGAATCGGCTGAGTCGATCTTAACAAACTTGGGCTAGTTGAAAGGAGCTAATTTTAGCAAGATCGCGAAAACCGCATCTCTATATAATAATAAATGGGTTTTATTGCTAAAATAAGCACACAGAAAAATTCATAGAACTTCTAACATAGCTGCTTTCCTGACAGACGGCAGAATTCGGATCTTATTACCGTACAGAGATGTCCGTTCTACCATTCAACGGAATCTTGTTCTTGTTCTGCCTTGATTTGCGTGGCACATCTTCCAACAACAACGGTAACTGATTGTCCAGAAACTAAAGAAAGACATTGCCATTAAGGATTGCTCGAAAAACTAATTCTGCTTCTCAGTATGCGAAACCGCACAATCTTATTCGAGGTCCAATGCCCTTGGTGCTGAACCTCACGCAACTAATGCGGATTTTTGGCAGGTCAATAATGCATATTGTGCATTATTAATAATAATATATCCATAAAAGGTTTTTTAAATATATAATATACTCTCCCTATATATATATATATATATATATATATATATATATATATAAAGAGAATATGATCATGCGGAGAAAAGTATATAACAACAAGTAGGAAAATAATGGGCAAAATCCGCAAAAAGGAGGAAAGTGGATTAGAGCAGAAAATAGGATAGGTAATCCGAGCGATACGTATTTCTGCTGGTTGGCTTCATCAGGCCCGAAATGAATGCACATATGAAACTACAAAAGTAGATACACATGCCCACACATCCGGATACGGGTGTAACCTGAGGAAACGAAGTTGGAGGGGAAAAAAACGACACACGAAGTCCACAACAAGAGCCAACCTACGTGGTGGTGGTTAGACGTCTCCTTGAAAATTCGAGGTCGTATAGCCATTTTATACTACAACGTGTAGGCTAGCTTTAGCAACGGTTATGCCATTTTTTAACAGAGCTTATTAGAAATCAACGAAAAAAATCTTAAATTCATTTTTTTGTGAAAAATCTCTTCCGTCCCTCAACTTTGGAGGGCGGTGAGAAAAAATGATGTATTTCATTATTCATCCTATTGGAAAAACTATTTTAATCCATGTAGAATAAACCCTGAAAATTTTAGCTTGCTACGATGGGTGATCATATAACATTCGTTGTTGTGATAATTACCACCTACAGGTACAGAATCTGTGTTCAGCCGCTCTTTATGGCGATTTACGAACAAATGAGGAAGATAATTTAATTAAATCAACTTTTAAAGAATATGTTCGAAATGGTCCCCACTATTTTCTCTACACAAGCGACACCTTCTAATAAAATTGCAATTAGTTTACGTTTTCCATAATTTTTATTTTTGTGTCATCAATTTTCTGGCACAGTTGGTTGACATTTTTACTCGTATATTCAGATGTATAGATTATCCCCTTATGAAAGCCCCATATAAAAAATCTAGAGGATTTAAATCGGGTGACCCTGGAGGCCATCGTATGTGTCCACCTCTACCTATCCAACGCCCAGGAAAGGTACTGTATAAGTAATACCGTACATCCCGTGCAAAGTGGCATGGGGCACCATTGTATTGAAAATACATGCGGCTTCGAACGTCCAAAGCTACATCCTATAGCAGCTCATGCAAACTGCCTTGTAGAAAAGCAAGATATGACTGACCATTCAACCTGGCGGGCAATTCATATGGTCAAATTAATTCTTTATTGAGAACTCCAGCCCACAAACCAACGCCGAAGTGACGTTGAAAGCTGTGTGTCGGCGAATAGCATGTGGATTTTCTATGCTCGATGAATGGATATTGTGGATGTTGAATATTCCATTTCGGTCAAAGTTGGATTCATCTGTCCATAACATGCTGTCGGAAAAAGTTTCATCCTCTTCGCACCTTCTCAACATATTCTCACAAAATTCAACCTGTTGTGCATAGTCGCTGGGAAGCAATTCTGGTACTTTTTGTACATGGTAAGGATGCGTGTTTTTCGAGCATAGTATTTGTGTCAACTGAAGTATGGGATATTCTTCTGCTTCGGGCAATAGCTCTGGTGCTTAAAGAGGAATCTCTCTCGGCTGCCTCCATTATATCTTCTATTTCTTCTGGGCGTACAGATTTTTTAAGGTGAGGCACTTATCGTAGGAAGGTGAAATTGTCTGGGTTAATTCTAAATGGATTGAAATAGTTTTTACAATAATACTAATAATACTGAATAATGAAATACAACCTCAATTTTTTTACTGCCCTCCTAAGTTGAAAGATGGAAGAGATTTTTCACAAAAAAATGAACTTAAGATTTTTGCGTTGATTACTAATAAGCTCTGTTAAAAAGACTCATAACCGTTGCCACACCTTAACATACAAAAAACGACACGTATCCTTTTTATTATAAAATCCATCTGTTGATGATCAATTTAGTTATATGAGCATGGACTTATATTGATTTCATGAACAAAGCTTAGGTTTAATGAATTAAGGCTGTATAGTTTTCATTATGAATCGGCTAGCTATCATTTGTTTTCGAAATACAACAATATTCTTTACTTTTTCTTGATAAGAAATAAATTCCTTCTGCAAAAAATACTTAAAAAACGTATGATTTAGGTTAAAATTGAGTTTAGTAAACAATGCTTGACACAAAATCAATAAATTACTACTACTAATAATTTAACAATGTTTCTTCATTATTTTTTCTTGATAATAAATAGATTCCTTTTGCAAAAATATTCAAAGAACGGATGATTTAGGTTAAAATTAAGTATAATAAACAATTTTTGATACAAAATCAATCAACTGCTCCACCTATCCGTAGCAGATGCTCAGGCTGTCAAAATTTGGTATTTTTACATAGAGTAATCCCATACCTCAACAAATAATCAAAACCGATCTGTATGATATCGAAGTGAGACAGTGTTGTATCAACACAATAATAACACTTACTGGTGGAAACATCGACCTTCATTAGGCTTGTGCTGCTCTTTGCAAAGTTTGTAGGAAGTATCCCAACTTGAAATAGCCTAACCGTAAAATTATCTGTAAACAGTAGCACTCTTTCAACATAGGAATATATCACAGAACTGAGAGAGAAGTTAATGCACTTGTGGTAAGCACTTTGATCCTCACTACATACTATGAGAATTAGGAGACAAATAAATCGTTGAATCCCTGAAATCGTTGGTTGAAACTGTTTCCCAGTTCGTCAGCCGGATCACCACGGTGACGACAGGTTATCGCCTATTCCAGTACTGTAGATTCTGCCAATTGTGGTGCTATAGTAGATACGGTCTTCTCGTCATTCAACAAACTAGTTCGTCCAACCACAGATAGCCATGCTGAGGCATTGCCAAATAGCATCAAACAGCTGTCCACCGTTGGGCGATATTCGTCAATACATGAGTCCCCTATTTCCAAAAGCGGCTATATCCAAAATTGAAGGTATTAAGAAAAAGGCGAAAAACTGTAAGTTTGTGAGTCAGTAATACCGTAATATTAATGACTGTAGCACAATAAAGGATTTTTGAAAAATAAAACATATTTTTTGTTTTATATGTCAGTAGGGGAGGGGGGCTAGGCATGGATCTACCCGAGTTTGAATGTGAACTTAGGATTTACCCGGTATTGAAACGAAGTTTGTGTGAATTCTTTCCTCATGTATTAACATTAGATAACAAAAAGGAATAAAAAAGAAAATCATACATTTTTTCTTGTAAACTGTTTAGGGTACATCAACTTAAAACTCAACTTGAGAAGTAGAAAGTCCTTTTTGTTAAAAACGAAAATAAAAATCATACATCAGCTTCAAAGCTACACTCGGTATTAGCAAAGCACACACTATTATCATCATCATTTTTTTCTGCTTGTGTTAAACTTTGTTGATTATCCATAACAGTCTTATAGTATTCCAATTCGAATTCTTAATTTTTTGCTTCCACGCCGTTCCAAAATGTTTTGTCAAAGTTCATCAACATTCTTTAGTTTTTTGGGATTTATTTTCAAGTTATTTATACAAACGTTTTCTGGGGATCTGGGGGCATGAGCGATATCCTCTTCCCTCTTTTGCAGATGCCTTTAGCCTTATTCACATCAGACTGGTAATTTGGTTCACCCCTTACCATGATTTGCAGATTTTTTGAACGAGTCAGTATCAACCGCTTTCATGATTTGATTTGTAAATGGAGTGAGGTTGGTGACTTGATGACATTTGCGGCCTCCTTTTTCCAATTTTGAATATGCCAGTCCTGTCCCAATTTTTTTAAAGTACCATGGTTTTCGAAAATATTATAAAACGTTTCAGGCTTGACTATTGTGTCAAGTTTTTTATCTTTTTTTCTATCAAGGCGAAAACTCGATCTGGAGGTGAAAAAGAATGGCCAGTGGCCGGAAATATCAATTGCAGTTTTTCGATATGGCTCGGAGCTTCTAACATCCATTTAGCGCACATAGACAGAACAATACTATTTTTGTTCTGCCCAGTGCAGCCATCTGATACCAGTCTAATCTCTTTCACATTCTCAGGAATCTTGATTTTGTTTAAAGTGTCATAAACCGCTGAGGCGATTTCATTCGATCCCTTATGACATTCTGTTTCAAGCCATGTATGGATATATACGTAAACATTTTCTTTTAAAAGTTTTACTTTTGATGATCCTATGACCTATGACAACAGTAAAGTTGTAAAGATACAGTTGCCTTTTGTAATATGTTATTTGATCAGGAATTTTCGGTAATACTAAGTTTTTTTGGCAGTCAAATGATCATCACTTTGACCATCGTTTTTTACCTGCAAATCTTTCTCTCTTTTGATCATTTCTCTGTATTCAAGGCATTGCGAGCAGATATCTACTTGTAGCGCATTGAATCCTATATAATACACAGGTCAACAGGATCTAGCCGGTTTTGTTCATAAACAAGAGCATAATAGTTGGTGTAGCAGTGGATGTAGCCGGTTTTGGTAAAACCAAGGATATAGCCACTTTTGTAATAAAACACGAATCAGCTTTAGCCGGATTTGAAAATAAGACTGAAATAGTGTGCTGATTTATATGGATTTTGCCGCATTTTGGAAACGAGTATGTATTACAGTATATTACTAGAACCTTTGACTATGAGATGGCAGCACCCACATCATTTTTCGAAAATATGGATTTAGCCGCTTTTGGAAATAGGGGACTCACATTTCCACTTTTTCCTCTACGAACCCATTGTTTTTTTATCATGTACCTTGAACAATCATAAAGCTAACACATGATGTGATGCACTTTGAACTATTTTGAAATATGCACATTCCTGGTGCTACGTCTTAATTACTTATGTGGAGTTTATAGTTTGCTGGCTTAGATATGCTTCTGAAAGAATCCATTGGCGTAAAAATTACCAAATGTTCAATATTACTTTTGGTTTTTCTTATAGCGTAACATAAAAAAAGAAGCAACGACGCTGTACATGACGTAAGGCTGTCATTCATTTCATGACGAATTTCTACCTTTGAGAAAAATACGTTATAACCGTTAATGTAATTTTCTATTATTAATCCTTTTTGAAACAAATCAGGACTCGAGAGATAATGAGAAATTTCACATATAGGTATGGTTACAACCGGAAATATGATCGCTGAATCTTACCTCTTAGGTCTTGTAAAAAATTCTAGACAGCGTCAATAATCACACGAAACAATGAAGACAAGTATCTTGACGACTTAATTTAGTCACTCATATTGGCTACCGGTTTGGAGATATTTTGAGTCGAAGAAAGCTAAGGGGCATCTGGAACCATCTTCTACAAATTGTACACATCTAAGCTAAATGAATAAGTTATATCGGTTGTAACCCATAAGTGTCCTCATATTTTCCTTATGTATTTACTTGGATTATTCGTTATTGTATACAGGTGCCTATTAATTTTCAATAAATTCTTTTTTTTTTTTTTTACATCTCGTATTGTTAAGGGGGTTAGATGGTAGAATAGATATATAATCTAAATCTCGCCTCCTGTAAGAATATTACAAATAAAAGACGTTAATTATTATTATTATTATTATTATATCGCATTAGCATAAGGAGTGATGCCCATGGTAGAGTATAAGTCCAACATAGGTCTTTTGCTGCCTCAATTAGGGATAAAAATTTGATTCCAAGTGTACGCATTACTCAAAATGCTCATGAGCGCCCATTTAACAAAATTGATAGGGGAGATTTTAGGCTACAGGCAATGTGGCCAGTTTGAAGAAGAGCTGCGAGCTGTTTAAAGTGGTAGGAGAAACATAATTTCTATGTAGGTATGTTTTGATGAGCAGGTATTAGACGGTATCTGACCACCGAAGGTGGTGGTACCAACCGGTGGATTTCCAAGGCGGGGCCAGAATTTATGCATATTGCATGCATACGTATTCCCTCACTAGAGTCTGTGTGACATCCCCTTTTTCCCCTGTATCTCCCTATAACTCTACGGTACCCACGGGTGTCTATGCCTTAGGTCTTTATGACAGTTCAAGACGAATCAAAATGAAAATACACACGCCACTCATTGCCTAAAAAAAAACGAGTACTTTATTAACAAGTAAAGTAAGAAGGGAGAACTAGATCTCTCTGAGATGCATGTGTGTCGTTTCTATTAGAAAGGAAAATGATTTATAATTATTTGGTAGCCAGCTGGCTGTTATGCTCTTTAATCGATAACTAGTTCAATGCGTATACAGGGTTCCCCACGCTGAAGATCAGTGCTCGACGTCCCAAAAGTCACCGTTAGCGGGTTACAAGAGTCGTTGTCAGTGCGATATTCCACTTGGCATGAGCGTATAATCTCGAGTTCATCTTTAATTATCACCAATCCTTGAACTTCTTAATATAAAACAACTAACGGACAATATCGGCAACCAGGATGTGGCATCTATCTCTAGTAAGCGACGTTCCTACTTTCTAATCATCTTTATTGTTACTGAGTTACTACTTACTGAGATACTATTGTATGTTCATATACATAATATTTTGTTTATTAGTAACAGCCCTAATAGCTTAATATGTTTAAGTATCATTTTGGTGTCTATTTTGTAGATTTGCTCTGATGTCCCTAACTTCTTAAATAAAAAATAAAGTAGAAAATACACACTTTTCAAGTGTTAGATAACATATTTCATCAGATCATTTGCAAGATTTTTGCCATTTTGTGCATAGCACCTAATATTTAAGTCATTCAGTAATTGTGAACCAAGGAATTTGTCTATTCTATATTTATTCTCCTACAGCAAAACGTTTCACAACAGTGCAGGACAATGGGATTTTCATTCCCCATTGTGAAGGAACCAAGCCAAGCCAAGTTCACATTGCATTGTTAGTCGCCAAAATTGCTTATCTGTAGCAGATACTTGTTACTCATTAACCTACCAATGCCTAACAAAGTGATTGCGTTGAATCAACACAACAATAATACTTCCCGGTGGAAACATATACGTTCGTTCGGTTTGAAATCTTCGAACACCACAATGATCTGCACTTAAAAATAACCCATCAGCAACACACTATTATAACTAAGAGAAAAATCTCCGACGGGCTTCCCTTACCTCCTACGATAAAACCACTCCAAATGAAATAGAATAGACATCGGTAAATTGGGTTGCATTTGCAGTTTTTTCCACAATGTTTGAGTTTCTCATTCATATCCGATGGCAGGAATATGTTTAGTGGCACCTCTAATAACTGTTTTTGTGTTTCATTATTCGTAGTGGACTTATGTTGCTACCACATTGTTGCCGCACTTTATCGAGCGTCTTACCTTTGAGGTGACAGACAGCGGTATGGTATGGTAAATATAACATCTAAAATTTAACCTCGTGGTTGTTATGCTGATAAATCTCTACAATCTGTGGCCAACAAAAGGAAACCACACATGTTGGGTTGAAAATTTCTCAACATTTCGGCCACCTCACTGAATGGTCAAAATTACCACCGAGGTGGCCGAAACGTTAGTACTCAGTCCAACATTTCTGATTTCGTGGGGCGACCAGCAAAACATGGAAACTTCTACGATGTACACGTAATAAGGCGCAGGTATTTTTGAATACTTGCTGAGTGTTGGAAATTCCACCTACAATGAATAATAATAGCAAAAATGTTATGGCCGAAAAACGAGGCAAAATGCAGGTTTTGGCACTTGTTGGTAATGCGACGATAATTCCACGAAACTACCTGAGATTCTTCAAATCCATGGGATTCGTATTGCTAAGTGACCACAACAAAATTGGGGGAGATTGGTAAAGTAGTTTTTGAGAATTCCTAATTGTTTATCCCAAAACACCTTTTTTCCGGTCATCACTACTAGTTTATTGAGCAATATACAGGGCTAGTTCAAAGAGCATTTTATAGCAAAAAACACTGGTTTACTTTTCCTATATGGATCGCGAACCATTCCGAAAGATAAATGTTATTTTTGTGCAAAAAGGATGTTTTACGTTTTTTCTTCGAAACAAATTTAAACATTTCGTATTTATGAGTAATTGAACAAATGCGCTCCGATATTCGAAAAAAATACGTTTCTATACACATTCTTTTGTTGCGAATTAACATGAACATTTTCCATCAACATTTGAGCCTTCCACACATAACTGTCCCTGTGAGTATGACAACTTGGTAGTCGTGGGTGCGTGACAATATCGACAATCCATTTTAGACTAGATCTAAAAAACTGAATAACCCCATACCAGAAAGGACAAAATAGATCTATTTACTAAACTACAAGTACAATCCGAAACTGTAATAAAATATAGGGCAGTTTCATTTAAAAGACAAAGTTGATGCTCACCCTGGAAAAACTGATCACCCTATTAAACAAAAATATAATATGATAAAACTTCTATGTCAACCAAAAAACACCTTTATTTAACATTATTTGTATACTCTTTGGTTATATACCCAGACCCTGGAATGTAAGCTTCACTAGCTTCAATCCTCTATGCTTCGTTGCTATTCCTAACATACAAGCCCATTAAGCAATTATGCTTTAGCATCCCAAACCGGAAGAGCCATAACATTTCTGCACGAACACCATGCGAAACATCCGAGATCTACTGACCTAGCAATTTCACATTTTCTATAGAAATTTTTCAGCTGAGATACGCGTTCCGGCATCTATAAATACGACCGATAAGATTTCTATTTGAATATAATCTATCTGTATGTTGTACACTAAACCCGCGTCTTGAAGCTTGACTAGCTAAACAAGTTTGAACATTCATTTTCAGATTTGAAAGAGGGAATATTTCTTTATGTCTTAAATAATGATTTGATCTTGACACCACCTTTTGGGAAATATCAAATCAATTACCATGGCCCACTGCAAGTATTTTGTTCAAAAGGCTCTAATAACAATGTGTCGATGTGTCATCGAAGAAATCTAGCTTTTCATAATAATTGCATATTATAGATTGAATACTGAATATATTTGCCTTTGAGATTACTCTAGAAAAACAGCCTCAAAATAAAGCAGACGGATGATTTTTATTGCGTGACCTAACTGTATAAAAACAATATTTGAATGTGTTACAGCTTTGGATCGATTTTGATTTTTTGAGCGCAAATTACCTAAAACACACTCTTTTCCTGGGAACGTCCTGTATGCATCAAAAAGCTCGTTAAACTCGCGAAAATAACAATATTGAGTCAAATATGCTTCAGTAAAATTTGAGATACAGGGTGTCGAAGCTAAATTTTGTACAGCTCGAGCTGTGCGTATACTATATTATTATATTTATTAGCATGGAAACTGACAATCAACTGTTTCTGATGATGAAAAGTACGACTGTACGTTATTCTGGTTATAAGCATGATATCTAAAGGGCAATAAGGCAATAATCTCGCTACTTACTTCCGTAACTCCTGTCTAGTACTGTTCCATTATTGCTAATTGAAAATATGATAATATGATGATTTTTAAGTAGAAAATGTTTCATGTATTTCGATTACCTAAGCCAGTTTTGAATCCCAGTAATATCGCACAACTATAAGGTTAGCTCAAACACAGCTTGTTAACAATGGATATGAAACAGTCTGTCGTGAACATCAAATTTCACTTGACAATTGAGGTTTTCTGACAGTTCTATCATTAAATTCGTATATATAATGTTACTTTTTAAAACTGCGAGTGTTTGCATATAATTGTGTTGTTCGATGATTTCAAAAGAACCTCTTACACAAACGCGGTCACTTTGGTAGGCATTGGCAGAGAAATGAATCGAAAGTGTACACTAAGACTATGCATATTCCGCGACAAACAATGTAAACATATAGGATTTGCTCATTCTAACCTATTCTAATTCGTTGTGATATGCATAAAAACAACGCCAATATGCCTGAGGTCATGTATCCATGACTACGGGCATTTCCCATCCACAACACTGTTAACGAACTGCTCCTGAGCCAGCGATTTGACTGTATGGGGAGTGTAGGATATCAGATAGCTCTAGCGCAGATATTCTCAAACCTCTTTCGTCTACAGCCCACTTTGAGAATCAACTATTTTCTGGTTCTTCCTGAAATTGTTCAAGATATCCATCTTTTCTTTAATTTCCTTTAGGCTCTTTATCGCCCCCCGTAGGTCCTCTGAATCCACAAAGAGGTGTTATCGCCCACTTTGAGACACACAGCTCTAGAGCTTGTTCAATCGGAATTTACCTAGATATGTAGAACTTCAGTGAAAACTAATGGAACGGTACGAGCAAAAGAGTTATGACATGAAGAGTCTACACAACGTAACTATCGCCCTCTAAATGGTGTGTCGAAGAGTAAAAAGAGCAATCGTATCCCTTGTCATCAGGCGCACCCTTTTCCAGTTTTGCTGTTTATATTACAAGAACAGGTGGTATAGGAATAAGAAGAGGAACAGAAGTAGCAAACGAACTGTCACCTGAAAGACAGATAAGAGAAATATTGTCAAACGTGTCATAAACTGAAGAAGGTCACCGTGGTGACCTAAATGTTCGCTACATTCTACAAGAATTTAAAATGTATGTGGTTTCGTTGGACCGACAAACGTGGTAGATTGAGAGAGCTTGAGAGATAAAGGAAGAGCGATTCCGAAAATTAAACTTCACCAGCCTGTACCTTGTTAACGAGCGTTAATTTACTAAGACATATTTGGCTCAATACGATTATCTTAACGAGCTCAACTTTGGAATGCTTTTTAAAAACCAGACGTATGCAGTACTTTTAAAGAAGTCCATACCATTCTTGTTCTTTGAACGGGTGAATCTAGCCTCGTAAATCTCAGGATGATGGAGTGGATGTATGGATCATATGTCCCAGCATTAAAATTGGCAGCTAAACTTTCAACATGACGGTTGTGGAATGGAATGTCATGTGATTCGTGAGTCAGTCTGTCAAAGTCGAGCACTTTTGTACAATGAATCGCTTATAACTCGAAAAACTAAGTTGAAAACACTGTATAGTATGTTCAATTAATCCTTTCTTTTCTGACGAAACTATCCGAATATGTATATGATAAAGAACATTCGATTTGAAAAGATTGAGATATCTGTAAATTTTCTTTTAAAGTAAATGGGTCATATTTTATTAGCTGGTGAGATGCGATTCAATGTACAAAAACGCTCAAATTCAACAGCTCGTCAGTCTGCCACTATGAACAATAGATAATTTGTATTCTATCAAAAGATATTTAGTATATGTATATATAATATAGTATTAGTATAGTCATATTGTTAAATCTAATAAAGTTTGTTACCTTAAAGTTATTGCGGTTCTTACATCATGTGCAAGCGGACTGCTCAAATATGCAGATATGCAGATAAATTACTACACTTAGCAAAATTTTGCAATTACAATGGTTCCCACTATCGAACCTCTAGGGTTATACCTCGATTGTCACCTCAAATAGTATGAACAATCGAATTACGTGAAAAAAAAGTTTGGATATGTCCCGCCAAGGTTTAAATATATTTCAGGAATACTTAATATTGATCAATTACGCATCCTGTATCAAGCGCTTGTAGCCAGACAGATTCAGTACGGGATTGTAGCAAGGGGTGTCGCTGCAAAGGCATATGTTAATAAAGTGGAAAAAATCGCTTTACTCTGACCCCATGTACTGGATATCTGTCAGCAATTTTTTCTATCACTTGGAATTTTCCAACATAAAAATGGAACAACTTTAAAAAAACACAGCACAGCTACAATATAAGAAATAGATGCATATTGATTCCTAAATCACAAAGAAATACTTTGGTCAGAAGTCACATCTTTTTAGGACCAAAGTTATATTATGAAATACGGGCTGTAGTCAGAGACTCCATTTCGTTTAGTATATTTAAAAGATAACTAAAGGAATATTTGCATGAACTTCCAAGAGTCAAAATACATCAATTCGTTGATCTTTGTAATACTTACTATTACTGAAATGTGACATGTTCAAAAACATTTCTTTTATAAACATTGTTTTTAACATTTTGAGGTGTAAATTGAATGTTAAGTGTTATGGATCTCTGTAATCAGAGTATATTTATGTATTAGATAGAAACATTCCCTTATACAAGGCTGTGCCCTATATGGGTCTTTTATTTGGTAATTTGAATATTTCTGTAAGTATTGTTATATTTTAAAGGTAATAAAACCAATTTTTTAATTTGAATTTGGATTGAATTTAATCGTTAGTCACATGACACAAGGCGCTACCTGCACGTGATGGGGGTGGCTGAGGATCCCTTGTGTGAGCACTGCGGGGTAGAAGAAGAGACCTCGGCGCACGTTCTGTGTCGCTGCCAGGCTCTTAGCTACTACAGGCAGACTATACTGGGGTCCATCACTTTGGATCCCCAGGAGATTAGGGAGCTTGGACTCAAGGCCTTACTCAACTTCGCTAGAATAGCGAGAGGTCTGAGAAATGTGGAGGTGCACAAGGGCCCGTCTGAGTGGCCTATGCGCTGGCTTCTTATGGTTGCCGGTATGCCTCTGATTTCGTGCTTTCATTCATTCATTCGTTCACATGTCAATAGTGCAAAATGTGAAGAGCAGTTCCAAACTAAAGCCTCCCAAATAACACATTTTCATGTATATTGTAAATACCAATCGGAATTACGAAATGCAAAATCTATTCAATAGGAAATTTCAGGGAACGACATCTATTACATACAAAAAATAAATTATACTTTCAATTAAATATGCATATTATACATGGTGTTATGTCTGTAAAACAGTGAAAATGAGTTTACTGAAACTGTGTTGTACTGCACACTATTTGTGGGACATCTATATACTTGCTACGGCAATTTCAATCACGAAACTAAAAATTTCAATATAATTTATCAGGTAAGAGAAATTAGAAAACCTGCGACCAGTTCATATGTACCTCCATCGTACCCTAGTTCCTTGCATACTACGTTTCAACAGTATTTTTAAGCTATTCTTCAAGTAATACAAATTGAAAAAACGCGGGACGAGCCCCTTTTATGTCTATTCTTATGTTGAATTACTTAATGATTGCTCGCATATCCAACTCTTTCTATCTCATTGACGCAGCAGTGCTCCAAGAGAAAATACCTTTTGGTGTGGTGAAACTGTAATCTCTCTCCTATTGCATGCAATTCTTTCCTGCCCGGAATAACACTATGTCATCTTAATTTCTCACACACGTCTTGTTAGACCATTTATCCGTACACCCAAAAAACCTGTTTTTCGCTGAAACGGCTGGGGATATCTGAGAGGTTTTTTAAAACGTAAATTTTTCTAATTTTTAGGCCATCAAAAAAGATCTTTGCAAATTTCTTGCTAAAATGCGAAGTTTCCGCGCTATAGCCTGCTTGTAGTTCCTGAATACCACCAAACTGCCGCCACACCGCCCACCGTCCACGCGTTGACGACCCAGGCGATCTCTTACTACATGGTGGGGGTTGTTCAGTGATAGGTAAATTTCGAACCGTGAGCCGTTTCAGCGAAAGAGATTTTTTTTAGTTTTCCGCTGTTCTACAAAAAACGGCTGGTTTCCGGAAAACCAAACCCTCACGACAATATTCGCAAGCCTTTATTGCACCATTACGCCAGCAATCATAACTTTGTGACTATATTCACTCACTTTTGCGGCAGTTTCGGCTATTTGACTGGACCATTTCGACATCCAAAAAGTGATACCTCTATACATTTTCAATGCAATCAGTCAATCCACCTTATTTAGATGGCGCTCAAAGTAGGTACATAGTCATGTACTTACACTCCTCTCATTACAGTCATGTCAGTCAAATTAACCTGAACAATTCAAAATGGCAGCGTTTAAGAGCAAAAAGGAAAAAATAGAGGAAAAGCTCAAGAAGAGGTCCTTACTAAAGAAGGGTGCTTCATCAAAAGTTACAGATGAGCATATTTCTGAGAAGGTGAAGTTTGGAAAGCCGGTACTGATTGTGTCCTACACATCAATTAAGGTTCTCACAGGAATTATAGGTATCATTGCTTAAATTTGCTCAGCAAAAAATAATGCTGAGTGTGGAAGTGGTGTGGACGTAACAGCGACTGGGAAAATTCATTAATTTGTGTGTGTCGCTTTACCTCGGTTATCATTCGGCTCTAACGCTCACGCACCCATAGTCGTTTATCACCTAAAACATCAAGATATAGGTAAGATTTATCAATGACGATAGTATCACTTTCAGAGCCTTTTTCCAAAGTTTAGGTTGCAGTAACCGTAACGCAACAACCATTGTTGCCAGACAGTGTTTCAAAGAAAGGAATCTGACGCGTTCTTTAGGAGTAAGATTTTTCCGCAGTTTCCAACAATATTTCAAATCCAACCGATCCTGCCCCTTGGCGACTTTTATAACAATCAAGATTCTTTTGCATTTCCCAAATATATCTTATAACCAATTGATCATGCCTCTGAGAATTTATTTTTGTGAGACGCGTTCTTATAACAGGCGAGACTTTTCCGTATTTTCCAACTATATTTCGTAATTTACCGATACTGCCTCTAGATATTTACCTTTGAGAGTACTTCAAACGGTGATATAGGCGAAGCAGGGTTACAATTTATGACTAGTCAAAGCCTTCACTGTATGTAGAAGCAATTTTCTGTTCCCTCTTGAGGGCATTTGTCTTATCAGCTTATCGTTTAACGTATTTTTTTGTAAAACACAAAAATCATCTGCATCGGGATGCATTTGTTATAAAAAAGCAGCATCTATGACATTTGTTTTTCGAAAATTGTTTTTTACACGTTAGCCATCACTGTATGTAATGTAACGGTTCTCTACGACACATCGGTGCATTTAAGCATTTTAACAATGGGTTGAAATTCAACCAATTGTGAGGCGAATGATATTGGGTAAGGTGCTGAATGGCAAAAAGGATCAATATACCAACAGTAGGCTTCTAGTTGCCGGTTTGTGCCTATACGTTAGGTACAAGTCTACAGGGTGAGTTGTTAGTGCGTTCTTGGGCGATAACTCCGTTAATACGCATGGTATCTAAAGAAGTTCATTACAAGAGTTGTATCCAACAGTATGCTCCTTACTTTATAAAAATAGATTTTTACATGGTGATAGATAAATCCGTGGTGACTCAAACATATGTTTTAAATAAAGGAACCTATCTTTTATTGCATATTCGGAGAGGCCTTTATGAAATGAAGCAATTTGATGTAACATACAATAGGATTCTGTTTCTGATTTTTTGAGGTATTTGGTAATCTATCGAAAAACATACACAGGTCGCAAAATAACAATTTACTCACAATTTACAAATAGACATCTTCTAGTCCCCCTTTCACGAGCTTTCTTTTTGATATAGAACTTATGAGAGTTTGTATGACTGGTTTTTGAGTTACAGTAAATCGGATATCAATGTACATGAAAAATTGCATTCAGTCAGTAACAGTAACAGCAAATGATTGAAATTTGTGTGTTTTCATTATTTTTTTTTTATAACGAAGGAGTCGCTCAGGCAGAAGCCTAAATGCTAGGACACCGCGGCTGCTATGAGGATCCCAAAAAAATTTTGTTATTCTGGTTTTTGAACTGCCTAAGGTTAGTAGAACTGCGAAAAGCTTCCTCTTGTAGATTGTTCCACAATCCCGACACCCTTGCGACAAAAGTCGTATCGGCCAGTTCTGGATATACGAAGTTCGATACGGTTAGAATGGGGCGCCAAAGTCAGGTGGGTCTGCCTGGCAGGCACATCGGGCTGCGGCAATACGGAAGAGAGCTTTGAGGAGCAAAGCTGGTTGGTGTAGCGGTAGAAGAGAACTAGATCGCCGTCGATCAGTCGGATAGCCTTCCTCTGGACAGCATCCAGCATGAATAATGTAATCGGGGCGGCAGCACCCCAAACATGTGAGCAATACTCGGGGCTAGGCCTTACCTGGGCCTTGTATATAGTGAGAAGATCATGCGGATAAAAGTACTTCTCAGCCCTAAAGAAATAGTCTTTTTCCAAGCATTGACGAGACGTGTTCGTGCCAGATCAAGTCCTTGGTGATCTGGACCCCCACCAGCCGAAATAAACGGTCATTTGTCAGAACTCGACCATCCATCGAAACCGAATGAGCGCTAGGACGCAGTACTGTGTTTTAGAAGCATTAAACTGTACAAGATTGTTGCGCCTCCAAGCAGTGATAACCTCCAGGTCTCCTGTCAGAGAGGAAGTCGTCGCTAGTTTTCTTTTTTCAGGTCAGCGGCATAGATCAGCTTGTCACTCTGAATTCTGCATGTAGAGTGCGGTCAACAGGGAAGCTGTGCATTGGGTTGATCGTGAAGGAAAGGAGATAGTTGATATGTAAGAGGAATAGTGTCGGAGCCAAGCCAATCGCTGGGGAACACCCGCGTTGACGTTGTGAAATGAAGAGGAAAAACAGTCAATTTTCTGAGAGGCCATAGGATGGAAGCCTGCAGCGTGCCAGAGCTGGTCGAACGCTTTCATGATATCAAGAGCAACGACATGAGCCTCACCATAAGTCTGGATGAGTAGGGGCTAATCAACCCGGACGTTCAAGGTAGCTCAGAAGCTCGCGGTTTACGCACCTTTCCATCACCCTACTTATAACAGAAAGCAGAGCTATAGCCCTGTAGTTGTAGGGGTCGGTGTTTGATCCTTTTTGGGATGGAGTGGACATGAATAAATATCCAGGGTTCTGGGAAGGTGTCGGATTTGTAAGATATTTGGAAGAGACGCGACAGGACTGGAGTAAGCTCCGCCACACACCTCTTCAGTACAATCGTGAGAATCAATTCCGGGACATAGTGTATGGAACCCTTTGCATTGATGGCACTTGGGCGTTGGGGGGGAACGTCCATGGTGGAGTTGGCAGCAAAGATGTTGGCAAGCACTTCCCCGTTGACTTTTTATTCGGCTATAATCTTTCCATCCCGACAGGTAAGTGGTGGAAGGCTACTGTGTGAGAAGTTCTTTCCTCTCTGTTTGGCCAGCGTCCAGAAAGGTCGACTGCCATTGCTCTGCGACGTTACCCTGTGACTAACTTTTATATCGTGCTGCTTTTTGGCATTGCGAACCGCTTCGTTATATTTGTTTCTGGACTCGACGTCGGCCTGTCCGTTCTCAACAGTGGGGTTTCTGTTGACCCTTCTAGAGAAGACGTCTCTGAGGCCCCTCCCAGTATGTCCGTAATGTCAAATTTTGCGACCCGGGCGACTTTCTGCTGCCACAGCGTGTTCTGCCCAAAACCTAACCTCCACCGTGGTCTGAGTTACACAGGGGTGACAGGTCAGCAGTGCTGTGACGAAACGCAGGGGAAAAAGTAGGGATCGTCACCAGCTGGGTCGGCCCGTGGGTAAGAGCGAACGCTTCAACAGCACGACCTGCTGCATCGGTCTTATTTGAGCCCAATCAAAGCTCACCGTGTTCATTGAAACCACCGAAGTGAAGTACCTCTGAAGCCGGGTGACTGATACTCAGAAAGTTAATTTGGATGGCGAGGTATTCAAGTAGGTCATCCCAGTTATGGTCCGAGGGAGGTGACAAAAGCTGCAAATAAATTTGAGAGATATTTTGTAGTTGAAGCGAAGCCATAGAATATCCTTCCGGTCTGATTCCAAAGAGACGTCTCTGGAGCAGAAAAGGCTGCTGCAGAGAAAAGCCACAACTCCCCCGTTGTGTCTGAGATTGGAGTGGACTTCGTAATTTGGGAAGCTAAGATGGTTAATCGGTGCAGATGCTGTGATTTTTGTCTCCGCGAAGAGGGGGGACGATTGGATTGCAAGTACGAGTAGTGATGAACAACATCAATGTTGCTGCTAATCCCGCAGATGTCCGTGAAGCACATTTTATCTTCGATGTTGTGCCCGCGAGTACACACTACACCCGAACATTACGAAAGTAGAGTAAGCGTACACGTCCGGAACGCTCAGTACTCAAGGTATCCATTAATATTAATTTTATTGCTGGGAGAGATAACCGACTTCGTAGCTTCGGTGTGTAAACATCCGGACATTGACGACATCCTGGAAAAGCTAGCGGGTGGTACCGCCTCGATCGACTGGTCCTTGACTACTACCACCTTCTTTTTGCATTATAATGATCTTAAGTAGACCTATAGTGGCCCGTTGCCGGAATTGTACCGCTACCCGGCAATCGGTACTGGGGTATTCCTTACCACGTGTACAATCAGTTGAACGGGAAGAAGTTAGTGAGTATACTGGATATACTGGATACGTCAACTGCATTAACCACGGTCAAGCTCAGTAGGGGCTAAGTCTCCCTAACCTCATGCCATAAAGTCGCATAGTGTTTTTAGAAAGTCAAAAACCAGTTGTACGAACTCCACAAGCCTAATATCAGGAAAAAGTCCGTAAAAGGGGAAATAACAGTGTCTAGCTATACCGTGTTTTCCATGTGAAAACTTTGAGAAATCGTTCATTTTGCGTTTCTAACTACTTTGTATAAAGTAACCAAGAAATTTAAAAGGTAAGTAGATAAGAAGAAAATATGGGATCCTAAAATTTTTATGATATAAATATATATTTTCCAAATATGAAAATTTTCGAAGTAGCATACTGCTGGCCACAATTTTTGTGATAAACTTTTTGTACACCATGCATAGTAACCGAGTTATCTACCAAGCCTACTTTAAAAATCACCCTGTATGACGGAGAATAAATAATAATGCCTTTGATGTGAATACTTAGTGCAACTTTACCTAACATGAAAAAATGCTACAAGCATCACCGTGGTGGAATGCAGAGTGAATGAATGAGAGGCTTCAGTGAGTATGCCGCTTCTGGATAATCTATCACTTTGGGCAGGAAAGGCCGACGGGCTATACTGTCGAGCTTTTCTACCTGAAAATGCCTATAACTGCTTTTGTCGCGTCGAAAAAACCTTTATCTATGCAGACGCAGCCCCGTAGTGCGGAAGGAGAAACTAGCTGCCCGTGGAATTGTTGTCGTAGGTCGTAGTAGAGCCAATACTTCATGAGATAAGCTGAAAGTAGCACCGCTCCATCTTGTGGAACTAATTATTCTGTTTCGGGCAGTTTGTTGTCAAGGCACGATAGCAGTCGAGTGTCTCTCGAAATGCTCAACTGCATCACCAACAGTTGAAATTCCTGAATAGACCACATTGAGTGCCGTAACATCTGACATTTGAAAGAAATAATCTATAAAAGATGACTATCAATACTGGTTCTTACCTTCATCTTTCTGCGCTGAAAAAAGTTTTTGTGAATACATTAAACGTTTTCTAACTTTTTCTGCATGGTACTTCAATCTGCTTTTCTTCATAGCTGTTATGCTGGCGGTCAACGTAGCCTACTCCCTAAGTCTGCTTTACACTGCAATAAGACTGAGAAGCAACCTTGGCCAATTCCTCAATATGGTAGCAAACGGCGATGGAGATATTCTACCTTCAACGCAAGCTATCCCCGTATTCATCTTTTTGGTTCTAAACGTTACCGCAACTGCTGTTACCTTGCGTTTCTTTAACCGCCCAGAAGACAAGAAAGGAAACACCATTTTGTTTGTGCTGCTTATAATTTCACTCGTTATGGTGATAGTGACTTGGGTTGTGATTATCTACATCGTGCTGCATGCCCATAAGACTCGAGAGCATCTTCATGATGGCATAACATTAGCAATGAAGAGTTATGGTAATGATTCTGCCAGTAAAAAGCGGATAGACAGGTTCGTACTCTGCGTGGCTAATAAAGAAGGAAAGCGTAGCCTTGGAGGTTACCGTATATTGCAAATTCGATCTTTACCTTTGAGATCTCAACGTATAGTATGTGGTATGTCTCAGCAAATCTTACTACAATAGAGTTTGACCACTCACAAAGCAGGTTTATTTCACACCCCACACGCTTTTCGCTGTTTCGCTAACATGCTAGCACCTTCATGGAGACGTTAAAGCTAAGGCCTAGCTTGGATATTATCTATTACATACTAGAGTTATTGATTCTCGTTACTTACGAGTATTTAATACTAATGGTTACTCTTCTAGAAAGTAATCATTTATTGTATTTGTTACTTTGATTAGTATTAGTACTTTGAATATAAGGTTTTGATAACGTGTGTCGAGTAATTAATGACTAATGTTGAAGAAGAACCTTAAATTTTGACAAAATGTAAGCATAGTTATTTTGAATCGGCCGTGCTTAATGCAAACATTGTATCTTCAACTTCTGTGCAAAACGAGATGAGTTATTATAGGATAGGGTGTCATAATATCTGCCTAAAAACTTTTTTTCAATTAAGCATGTACCAGTATAAAAAAATGTATATCGAGCTTAGTCTACACATACTATTATGATTTTTAGCAAACAGTGAGACCCTGATGCAAAAGTGGCAGTGCTACAGTGATTCCTAAGATTAGTTACTTTCTCAACATCTCTATCAAATGCTTGTCAAGTCACCTTAAGTCAGTAGGACATACAGCAGGCAGTTAAACGATGCCAAAAATCGTCGCACACAAGAGGTCTTGGAAAAGTATTCAATCATTTGGGATTTAAAACCCAGAATCAGTCTGATCCTAAGCTTGAACATTTTTTGGAAAACCTTACAGACAAAGTAGACACAAGTAAAGGGTGTAGATTTTATGAGGTCAGCTCTAATAACTGTAGTGAATCCTACATCACATAAACTAGAAGACCAATTAGGACTAGGTTTAAAGAACAAATGGCTGATTTAGGATACGGTATAATAGTGTAGAGCTCATGATCCATAGAGAACACAAGATATATACGAGTATAAATAATTTAAGATTAGTACGCAATGTTTGGAGCTTTAAGAAAACAGGTACATATGAAAGCTTAGAAATAACTAAAAGTTTAGGGAATGTAATGACCAAGTACAGAAATTATATTCCTAGTAGTATTTGCTGTATGCTCTAATGACTCACAAGTGGCCTGTGGCTCCAAAAGGTTGTGGTACCACGAACTTGATTGTTTATAGAATAAGTATATACATATAGGAAAATATTTATGTTAATCTTCCCCTGAAGCCATAGTTGGCAAAAGGCGTGTTGGGTGTTGAAGAAACCGGCTTGGCCAGTGGTATAAGTCGGTTCAATATGGGCAAATTTGCGCACCTAATCAAAGGTAACTATGAAAGTGGTACCGACTGAAGAACTGAATATTCCCGAAATCGTTTTTATTTTTTTCTTGACATTATCTGTCACGAGATTTGAAAATGAATTGTGTATTACAAATGCCATTTTTTTCTCTACATATTTTCGATCTGACGTTTCAACTTCACTTTAAGTCATACTGAATTTTTTCAAACCTCAACGGTTTTCTGTAATTCTGATTTCAAAGAGGAATAATATGTCATACATTAGTATTGCAAAAATATAATTTTTTAAAGAAACATAATTTGACAACTATGCATTGGAATTGTCAACCATCTGTTTGATTACATTGCCATCCAAGCAATCTCTCAGTTTTTACGATATTGTACAAATTATGATACAGATTAGTATTTCAAATTGCAATGCTTCCTTTCCGCAAAAAGTCCAGAAAAGATGGAATGCAATGAAGATTCCAACTTTTCTGCACAATCACAGAAAGGGGGTTACCATTAGCTTCCGGTAGCTCAATCGGTGGCATGAAGATATCTTCAGGCGTGTAGCTGTGTGTCGACCATGGCATGGCTAGAGGATAGAAGAACAAACAGAACACAAACATTTAACAGATTTTATTTAACAAAAAAAAAGCATTTTCATTACATTACAATTTTACAGTTTTAAAGAACAAAATAAGTTTTACATCTTTGGCGCTGCTATAAAACTATCAACTTATCTTTCGCTGGTCCATTTTGACTCGACTGAAGCGAGGATGGCCAGGTGCTTGAAGTGGAAGTCCCAGTTATGAGGGGTGACCTCACATATAGTGGCTTCATAACCAGTTGTAGGCCAAGTTGAACTTAAAGGCGATGGCGCTGCCAAGGCACATGCATGGGTGAAGTGATAGGCCAAGCAACGCAAAGTCAAAGACTAAGGCAAAGGGAAAGGGAAAGAGAAAGGGAAAGGGAAAGAGAAAGGGAAAGAGAAAGAGAAAGGGGGTGGCCCCAATCATTTTGTCCTATACGGCACACATTCTACAAAATTCTAGCACATGGTGCTATATGACCTTGTGCTACAGAGAAGAAAATTCTTAGCTCTTGTTCGATCGGCGGCTCAAGTGAAAAGGAAGCGCGAGGAAGATCGCAGATCAGGAACTCCGCATCAAGCGGTCCAAGCGGAAAATTTTCCAAGTAAGAAAGCTAGAGATGGGATTAATGAAATGATAATCGAGAAGTGATTTAATAAATACGATCGGACGGTGAAACCGTTACAAAATCTGCACACGCCAAAAAATAACATTCCTTGAGTTAGTCTTTACTCATCGTATAAAGAACACCATAATCATAGTAATGGAAACATTCAAAATGGTATAATTTGGAACACTGATAAAACCATTTTAATCTTGCTTTCAAATAATATTAATCTACGGCCGATATGTCATATAGGGAGGCTCCAACATACTAACATAACCCTTGTTATAGCCTATAAATGGAGAAATCATCTAAATGCTTCTCAAAAGCTAAAACAATCTTCAATTGCGATGTAATTAAAATGTCACCTTCAGGGCCAATTACGAAAATACTATTTTTTTTAATAACTTTGGTTTGACGACAGCGCTATCCACCTGTACAAGAATCCAATGTAACGCCGGTAAGGAAAAATACAGTAAGCTGCTGAATGAAGGGACGAGACGAAATAGAATAATGAAGTCCTAACTATAGCGTATTTTAGAGGAGAAAAAGTAGCATTGTCATTGTGTGTATTTTGAAAAAACAAAACTAAAGACGATTCTGGGACTCGGCTTTTTCATCTAATTGCGACAATACTGTGAATCGCGAATCCTTCTGACTGCCATTTTTTTAATTACATAGATGCGCGTGTCTCTCAATTTATACGACTTCGTATCTTGTACGGTTTCCAAAATCTCAATGCAGTCGAAATCGAGTCACTCGATATATCAATGTCGCCATTTCCGGCGTCATTTTACTTGTTAGGTGATGTATGTCAACGGCTACTGCGGCTAAAAACAAGGGCAATTTTGGGGTAACAACTTGGTAAATGATTGGCTAGGCTATTCTAAGACAATTTTGCCGTTTGTTGAGCTCCGAAAAACTGCTTCACTTGTAAGATACGGGATAAGGATTTTTGAAAACAATATTTTTCAATTACACCAAATTGCATGAGTAGCTTTTTGGTGTACAATAGTGTTTAAAATGGCCAGAACGCAAGGCTTTGAAAGCTAATTTACAAGGCGAGCCCTTTGAAATAAACCAATTCTTGTTTATTGAGTCATGTCCAAAATATTGTTGTGTTTTCTTCTGGTATGCACTTTTGCACTACCCACACACTTCTCCATGCTTAATGCTGTGGGTGCTGATATTTCGTGTTTCCTAGGTGGATTATTGCAAAATATTCCATACTGAGCTCATTACCTTCCTGTTTCTCTAACTACAGCCTCGTACTTCTATACATCCTTCAAACAAGTGTACTGGAACAAGAAGTGGAAACAGACAATCTTGATAAGTTGGACAAGTATTGACTTTTTTCTCAGAACGCCTTTAATTGTTGATGCATAAGATTACGTAGTAATCCACTGACTCTGACGGAATGATCAATAAATACTGATCGTGTGACATTCGCCGTCTATCATGCAAATAGCATGTTAAAGACAAATTGACAATTTTCAACTATTCAACCCCGTATATCATCCTGAATTGACATGACAGTTTAGTGCTAAATACCTGATTACTCACTTCTTAGACTTAAGATTTGCCGATACTCTTTCGATTTTTCACCTAAAATGACACTGAAGTGATCTTCACCCTGGTGAGGAAGAGGTTTCTATTTCTATGAGCAACCAAATTCCCCAGTTATATGAAAAAAGCTTGCATTTCCTTTTTTTGATGAAAGTTGTATTGGGCCTACTTCTTTACGAAAGGATTGGCGGGAAAAACAAAAATTACATCCGATTATCATTGTGATTGGTGCCACTCATCTGCTTGCTCTTCTATTAAGGGAATTTTGTTGTGCCATCTTTTAACAGTCATGTTAACCCATGGTCCTATCAATAGCTATGCATAATGTAAACCTGACCATTGGAACCTCCTGACTAGACTCCATTGTCAAACGGATGGGGACACGTAATTCCAAAAAGCTTAGGCAAGATTTTAAATAGCCCTATTTCTAATCAACATGCACTAATCTGCGTTTATACAGATTGCAGATAGAACTGCAATGCTGTGGAAGTAAGGGATATGACGAATGGTACAACGTTACATGGATGGACAAAAGTCTGATGAAAAAGGGTACTGTAGACAACTCTGAAGGTAACACTCCTTTCAGCTGTTGTTCGTTGGCATCCTCGTTTCCCTGTATCCACCATGATATAGAGAAGACCGGAAAGGTATATTTGTACACACCAGAACAAAACCTCAGTATATCAACTGTTGGCTGTTTCAATAAATTAAGAGAACAAGAAAAGGCAGTAGGGTAAGTTAAGGGTCACATTTAGAAACGTTCTTTGAAGACTGAGAGCCATTCGGGGAATGATTTCTCTTTGGACTATAAGCAAGCAGTGATGCTTTCTCCAGGAAATGTCAAGGAATGATTAAACATTTGCAGTTCACGATAGGCTGTAAAAGTTATAGGATTTAAAAATTTTGAAAATTTGACCTGAACCATGTACTGGATGTCTGCCGGTTTTCAGACGCATTCTTTACACAATGTTTGATGGTGTCAAATCATGTACAATAAATTCCAGTCTGGAATTTTATTATGACATCGTTGTTACCATTTTGACCAAAAGTTTCAACTGGCAGAGGGTTTGAGCTTCAACAATTTCCCAGATACATTCAGTTTGTACAAGTTATTGAGATGTTAACGGAAAATAGTTGTTGGTCATTATTACACACATACATACATTTTTGATCAAAAGCAGAAGATTCTGATATCAATGGCTACCAATTGTAGCAAAATCTGAAAAACGGTTTCGTGGAAGACGCCAGTGTGACCTTATGACGTTGATTAGAAAAGCAAAAAATAGCAACTGTTACTTTGGGGCATCTACTGAGCGCTGACATAATTTTAGCCGCTTTTCTATTTCATTAAGAAAGATCGGGGTGCTTTCATACTACTCTGACCGAAGCCCAAATACGTCAGAGGTTCTTGTGTTAACGGTTTTCGAGTTAGGAGGTGCGCAAGTTTAATAAATCATGAGAAGTTCTGGCTTTGCAAGGAACACCTAGCGTTTTATAGTTTTTCATAAAAAAGTCCGTTCGAAGTCGACCGACGTTTGATGCTGATTCTGTTCTTGACTCAGAATATGATGAATGTAGTTTAACGGTTTCCAAGCAGCGGCAATTTTGGCCATTTCTGAAGTACACTACAGAATTAACATCAAACACAGTATATTTATATAGACGTAGCTGATGTTAACTTTTATCGAAACTATATCGCACAAAAGTTGCCTGAAACTGTAATATGTTGCTCTCCAGAAAATTCGGATCACAAACCTCTCAGAACAGCAGACTATCATAGCTACTGCTGGGTTACAAGGCCAGGAAGTATATAAATCCGATTAATAATAGATAATACAAATCAACAGTTAATGACCCGTCAAATAGAAAGGCTGTTTATAGTACTAAATAATTACAATAAACTGTGTTTGAGTCACCTTGAATATTTGGCCGATAATTATATACATACACACATTGTTATAGACTAAAAATCATCTACAATTACTCTGGTTATGAGTCGCAACCCCAGCTTACATACAAACATATGTATGTAACTCCTGGTTAAAGAACACGCTGTACTCAGAGCTAAATATAGTAGCAGCGATAGAAGTGGCGAGAGCAACCTTTCTTAAGGAGATCTTGCTCAACGACTTTAGTATAGCTACTAAATAAAGACCATAAGGATAATTCTTGAAAATGACGAACAGAACAACCGATAAAAATTGTACGTTGCTCCATTACGTTTCGAGGAATGATATCCTCTAGTATAGGCAGAACAGTCTTTCCTGGGTAGCTCTCTTATAAATATATAGCAAAAGGAAATGTGCGATGGCTAGCCTTTGCCCATCAGTCCCATCTCAAGCGAAATCAGCTTTGTACTGAAAGATATGTAATGATCTGATGCGTTCACAAACTCATTTGAGGAGCGTAAAAACATAATTCAAGGGCTACTGTACAAGGTAATACAATACATGTTACTGGCTATACTCTCGAAATCGACAGATACGAAGCCATGATTCTTCGTAAAATAATGCATTTTCGTGGATTTATTATACTAGTTCACTGTAACTCGCAAACCATTAATACTAGAGTCTTACAAACACGTCTTTAGACTTTCGCTCAGAATAGTACAGGGGGCAGGTACTGCGAGAATGAGAAATTATACACTTGCATCGTTCTTATAATGAATAAAAACTTCTATCAAGAGAACAGATCCACCTAAGAAATATCAACATAGCTATTTATTAATCTTCTAATCAATTTAAAAAGAGATTATAGGGTCACGTTGGCACTTGGGTGCCCTGTAACTCAGAGACGGTTGGTATCAGAACATGAAGACTTGTGATTAAAAAGATATGGAGGAATAACATTAATATTTTGATGGCTTGCGCACCCTGTACTAGACCCTGACGTCAGACCTTTCGCCCACAGAAACTTCTGACTGAAATGGTATAGGCGGAGGTGCTTGGCCGCAATATATTTTCCATGAGGACCCTAGTGATTTTGTACGACCAAAGGATGTGTAAAAAGGTGTTTATAAGTCGGTAGACATCCAGTAGATTTCTAGTCAACGCCAAAAGTCAGAACGGTCCATATTAGCACCATCATGCGATAAAGACTTTTGCTCACACTGGCATGAAGAGAAAAATACTACAATTTTTGTCAGTTTTACCATAAAGAGTGTGCCATCTCTGGTTATAAACCCATGATGCCAACTGCCACAGCCTGCTATGGAATACAAATGTTAATTCCTACTTTAAACCTTACTCGAGCAAGCATCATTGTTCGTTTAAAATCTAGGGAGAGATCGTTCCTCCATTCAACCTTCGAGGAACGTATATAAACGTGACAGTAAGTGCTTCTGATGTAATAAAGATTTTGCTTCTGTTCTTTTGTGTTTACGAGATTCATGTAAATTTACTTCATTTCCTGTCATAAAATGCACCGAAAAGGTAAGAAAGAATCTTTAACGGGGCAGCTTCATTTTTAGCAGCCATCAACTTAATGCTAAGCACCGTTTCTTTACCCTGCTGAAAGCATAACGAATAAAAATGGTTACGGTTTTTTAGAGAGAAATGTAGAGGTTATAGCATTATACATTCTGTTTTAGGTCTGAATGGAAAGCCCCAATAGTAGACTCCAATGCCGCGGATTCCGTAAATTCTACAACGTATAAAAACCCAGAAAAGAACTCGTTCCGAGCAAATAATATGTTGTAGGTTAACAAATATAAAATTTTTGTGCGCGTACCGGTAAGCGCGTCGCGATAGTGTCAGAATGTTGCCATCCCTCAGTTGATCTCACATGACACAGGTTTCAACATAGAGACCACAAGGCTATATTCCAGTAGCACTGCGATAGCAACGATGCAAAGTTTATTAACATCGACAGTTTAACTAAGCATACGTATGGACTAAATTCACATCCCTGACAACAATATTACCAGGATGTGTCCATAGGCCTGGAAACAACATTCACCCCTGAGGTGCTTTCCGGTGGCCCATATGAGTTAGTCAGACTAAATCAGTAGTGCTTTGAACTAAGATCATTCCACAGCATTTTGTATTTCCATGCACATTTTCTGTAGCGGTTAGAGATCATATCACTCTTAAACCAAAAATCACTGGAAGTCAGCTCTATTTTCCGATAATGTTGTTGGGGACACGTTGTTTAACGCAAAGTTGTGCATTAACTCTTCTGCGCTGTCGGAATATCTAGCAACATAAAAGAGACAGAGGAAAGTAGCCCAAATCAGGACCCTCCTTAAAGCGGACCCCTGGTCTCGTTGGCTCTTCATTTCATAAAACTCTATTACAGCTAAGTGTAAATGGTGGCTTAGATGTCTACCACGCTGCAATGGACCGTCCGTGCACCAATGCTAAGGAAGTGCCATATTTGAGGGTCGGCAGTTTTCTGCTTATAAAAATCTCGTTCTATGACTTTGCGTAGAAAATAAGCACTAGAAGTTGGCAAACATAAGTTTCACCTGCCGATTATTTTTCTGCTTCTTAACGATGTCCAGGCCTTCATTTTCTAGATTATTCTAGAAATTCGCTATCTGGAGGTAGCACCCTTAAAAAATGAACGGTAACGTAACTCCTCACCAGTAAGCTTATTTTTTTGAGGATATCCAAACAAAAAAATATACCACTGGAAAATATTCCATGGAAATATTGCCTATCGATTTATTTTGACTGGATTGCGACAGTAATTCCAGTCTACATTACAAAGCACGGGAGCTGAAACGCTCGAGGAAGCCTTTCACCATAATTATGATAACAAGATTAATCGAGTTTTTTCCCAAGTTCCCACTCGGCGCTTCGGGCAATTGAGAATTTCGCTTTGATTTTAAGAAAATAATAAACACATAAACCGGAGAATGTAATTTATACAACGTATTACATCTACTTACGAAAGAAGTATTTTCCACGTTTTATTGTATGAACAGCACGATGCTGGCATACGGCCACCCCATTCCAGTTATAACTTAGTGAGCCCATCAAGCATTGTGTCTTTGGGGGAAGAACTGTAGCCTGCTAGTCTTTTGAGGTACAGCTATTTTTTCTTGCCGTACCTCGAAACTTGTGTTGCGTTCAAATTATTCCAGAAGATGTAGATAATGGAACAGTAGAGGATCTATGAGGCTCGCATTTTTATAATCGTTAACTGTATGCAGGACAAAAAACTGCATAGTTGTAAAATGAAACAAGGGAGGTGTTCAACATTGCTATCCTGTGAGGCTTCCAATGGTAAAAAATACGTTATAGTAATTGCACCAATTGTAGCTAAGAGAATTTTGGCAACCACAAGTGCTGCATAAGTAAGGTTAATGCTAATCTCATTCGACGTTTACATCAAATGTCATTCAATGTTTACATTAGAGAATTTTTTGCGAGATCCCGTAGTGAACCGGAGCGGGAACAGATGGAATTTCCCCTTCCTCTCGAAGTTTTGACAGTTTCAAGTTCAATCGGGAGTGGTTAGATGGCGCATGTTTTGTAAAATGTTTGCTTTAAGCTCCTTGATAAACTTAGCTGCCTTGTTTGAATCTGAAATAACAAGACCGATCGTTTTTTGTGCAATGTACTTATATATCAATGAAATCAATCATTTCATATGAAAAGTGCGGTTCATATATCTTCGATGACCTTCTCCCTCGTCATTTAAAATCAGGTGGACGTGTTCCTCCATTTATGATTTAGTAATTTAACTCAATTTTCAGCACTGCGAAGACAAATTTTCAATTGAGATGCCTGTTTTTAAATGCCATTGACATAAGACCTGTCACCTGCTAGTACGTCACAGACGTTAGGCGGGTATCCGCATCACGTGATTTTTTGACATTCGGTCGACGTCACATCCGTCTTCCTCTATTCCCGTTCTTCGCGAAAATTTGAGTATCGGTTCCCGGTAGTGCACTGTGCTACCCCGTGGACCCGCAAAAAAATCCTTATTTACATATGCGGTATGTGTGGTTGCCAAAACTATCTAATAATTATCCCGAATCAAGTTACTTTCTAATCCCGCATCGTCATAGATTGTATCCCAAAGGAAATCGTCGTTCAAAACATTCCTGTATACGTATACTCGACAGTTTCCCAGATCCCCAGAGTATAACTCTGTTTGTTCCTTGAGAAGGTATTAGCCTCTTTACTCCATTCTGTCAGTTCCCATACGGTTTAGTGTTTGTTCTATCGTACACTTCCTATCTACGTTTTGTAACTTAGCAAATCATATTTGAATATCACCATAATTCTTGATTGGGCAGGTGCACGTCCTATACACGATCTACCTCCTATACTTCTACGTTCTCTCTTGTCTAAGTCATTCAAATGCTTGCGTTCTTCTATTACAGATGGAACATAGTCGGCAATCTGTTCCTGTACACCATGCTTCAGTTAGGGTTAATTATATGTCTAAGGTTCCTCCAAACAGGGCACTCTATTAATTGGAAGTTTGTCGGTCACGGCGAGGAATACGTCATATGGTTGGTAGGTCGCTACGCAAGAAAGAAAAAGATAGATAAGGACAATGACCAATCAGAAACTTCCTCGAAGGTAACCTATTACTCAGTAAAACATCATTTTGTACAGTAAAGAAATTGTAGCTTATTTTTTGGCCTACCCAGGGTGTTTCACAAAATTAACCACATATGCACTGTTACGAAACAAGTTGATTTCTCAATAAAAAAACTTATTAAAAGCCCTACAGAAATTAGGTTATAAACCTGATTTTCAATAATAAATTGAAAAATAAGTATCTGTATTTTGCGTTCATTGTCGTGATATTAGAACACACATTAATAATTTATTGTAGCAAATGATGTACCAAACAATTGAAGAAAACAAAATGCTAGGCATTTTTTGTTTTTTCATACTGATAAGAACGTGTAAATAAGGTTTAATCTGTAACGTGGGTGATCTGAATAAAGAACGGTCGATTTTTGTGAAGTTAAATAAGAAAGTATTTTGCGAGTTTATGTTAGTAGTAATTTATCAATAAAAATGGCACACGTATACACTAATGAGGAGTTAGTGGACATTGTTTTAGCGTACGGAAAAGCAGGGCAAAATTCGCGAGCGGCTTCTCGTCTGAATCAGGTATACCAGATGAGCTGTGGTATATTTGAATTACTGCGCCGAAATTGGATTCGACGCGCCCAAGCTTATATTGCAGTCAATGGAAATAATTTTGAACAGTTAAGCTGTATTATTTTATTATCTCGATTTCTGTAGGACTTTTATTACATTCTTCTTGAGTATCAACTTCTTTCGTAACAGTGCATATGTGGGTGTGATATGTCGGATAAGTTGTGAGCACCCTGTAATTATAGGAGAATTACTATCAACAGCGAGTCACGAATATGGTATTTCGAAGTCAAAAGAGAAGAATGCGGTGCATATCAGGTGGTGACAGTATTAGAGTTGCTGAGACTTGTTCCCAAAATTAACAATTCTATTACTACCCTCCCTATTTCTGAATGAAATGGCAATATATGTATACTTTTATTGGCAAAGTTAATTTCACTTAAAATATATACATTCAATACACGCAGACAGCATGACACTCATCTACATGTTGCTCGATATAAGGAAGGTAGTAGGTATGACTCCATTTTAGGTCCAAAATTATTCAGTAGAGTTCCTGGATACATTAAGACTTCCAGCAGCTTGAATAAAATTTTAAAGTTGAGTTAAAAACCTATCTTATGAACAAGTGTTGCTCGCCACCAGCGACTTTGTGGATATTTAAATGTTCCTCTTTTGATATTGCTTGTGGTCCTCTTATTGTTTGTTCTTTTATATATGTTTATATTGTATTTTTGTTAATTCGTTGATTTTAACTGCTGGCAAGCTAATCTATCTCATCGTATGCTTGCTATTTGCCCTTGATGATATTGTCCAGTTTTAAATTTTTGATTTTTTGTTGTTGCTTATTATATTGTTTTTTTGAATGAATATGTACTATAGGTTATTTGTCATCACGTACTTTATATGTGTTTCATACATGCCTAATGGGTAATAAAAAAAATGTCCGATTGTTGGTTATACAGTGTCCCAACAAAAATGGAAGGTAGTTTTAAGAGCAATCTGGAAAAGGTATCAAATATACCTATGACTTCATTGTAACCTTCATGGGTTACTAGTGCATATATTAAATTTATAGTGTTCCATAACTTACCTGTACCAAAGCAAGCATGTATTTTTATAAATATAATACCCTTTGTTCTATTGCATATTTTGATAGAGCTTCCAAGTACAAGAAGTTTGATATCATATAGCATACGGTTATGATTGTCAATTGTTTAGATATTTAGTGGAACATCTAAAATAATGACTAACTTTGACGGCTCGTAGCTCCACCAATTGTGAAGATATTTGGAAAAGTTTCAGTTCACAAATATTTTATGATCTAAAAGGAATTTTACCTTTATGGGGTAGGATATCAAAACGCGAAATGTACCCTTTCTCAAATGGAATACCCTGTATACTTCTACATCATTATATATCTTTTCCTGGAAAGTATTTTTTGATATGAGGTTTCTACCACGTTTTCCAAACAGTTTTCGAATTATTGCTATTAATTCCAAGATAAGAGTATATGCCACATTTAGATCCAGATTCAGATTTTCCATGGAAACAACTAATTTTCTTTAGCACAATAAGGCTCATCTTATGTTAATCCAGAACAGTCATTCATTATGAAATTATTGTAATGCATTCCAAGTAGTTTTGTTAATTCCCAGATGTTTGAACTCGGGTCCAGTATTCTTTCACAACCAGTTTGCTCCAGCAACTTGGATAACACGATTCTCTATAGTGTTTAACTCGAAGGACTATATATCACTGATGTGTGATAAACCTAGCAAATCTCAGGACCGCAATGACAGATTGGTACTTTATTCTTGCTGTTCTATTCATGCGATTTGCAGCATAGGATCTTTTAATTCAGAGTCGCCAACCTATCCTAAAACATTTTTCCCCATCTGACTATTACAAAAATGATATTTCCATAATGGTAGTTGACAACTTAATACAATTTCAACCCTTAGTACAGTGTACGATCTCTTATTGATGTGAATGGTGGACTGAATGATAGTTCTAATTCTGATTGAGATATAGGAAAGACACGAACATAAAAGAGTGGGGGAATAGTATACAGAGTCTTGAATACGACCCTTACCATTGGAAGCTGTAAGTGACACGAAGCCGCTTAAATAGCGGCAAAGTTGTGTATTTAGGTAATAAATAAAATGCCTCTTGGAAAATTCCAAAATTCAAAGTACTTTCGGGGAGAGATAAAAAAAACGAATTTGCCCAAAATCGCTTTTATTGTATTCTGACTTTATGTGTAGCGGGATTTCAAAATAAATTACACATTAGCTCTACAAGATATCACGATTAGAACTTTAATATGACGTTTCGTCTCTTGTCTTTCGGCATCAACTTTATCTTTTGATACGGACGCCATATTGGATTTTTGATCAGATGAATAGAGTTTTTAGGTCTGATTCCAAAAATACGTCACACGTTGACTTTGCCAAACTTTATTTATTCCAAAATAGCAGAATTTCCTAGGTGAGCCTTAAAACTATCATATAGTCATTAGTTTTTTATACCAGGTTCATCCCAAAGTCACTATAACTTTTTCCTGACCGTATTTGAGACGGGATTACAAAATAAATTGCATGTTGCCGTTGTCACTTATTCTTCTCTAGAAGATGGCGTAGTCAAATTTTCAATTCAACATTTCGTCTTTTGACTTCCATCACCAACTCATATGGACGCTTTACTGGAATTTTGTATATTAATATGGACTTTTTAGCCTTAAATTCAGAGCTGTGTTTCCTTAGTTGGCCATGAGTTTGTTGTTGGATAAAGATTATAAGGAAATAAAATGGTATGGACGAACCTGATCACAAAATAAAAAATTTATTGATGATAATAGCCGTTATGATCATAAATAACCAAGGGTCAATCATGGCAGGTGCTTAGAATGTTGGTTATTTTATAGGAAAAGCCTAACTCTCATGTGTATATTGTGCACTACTCGATTCATGTCTCTTCTTCTCAGCCAAACTCTGTTGATATGTTCAATTTGAGGTCAAGTCTGGTATACGAACCAAATAAAATCTGATAAATTCAAGGCCTACCTAGGAGCCTCTGTTTTTCTGGAATAACTGCTATCAATGTCAATGTATGACATGTTATGATACATTTTTGAAATCAAGGTTGAAAACTCTATTCATCTGGGAAAAATACAATATCGTGTCCATTAGAAAGAAATAAAGTTGATGCTGGAGGTCAAGAGACGAAACGCCTTAAGGTAATTCCAATTATGCCAGGAGAGGAGAGAAACTGGAAATGATAGCAAGTAGTTTACTAACTAAGTCAGGAAATAATGAAAGTGATTTTGGGTTAAATCTAGTTTGCGAAGTAAATGACTATCTGATAATTCCAAGGCCTACCTGGGGGATTATGCTTTTTCGAAATAACTAACACTTGGCAATGCCAATTTATGACATTTTTTGGAACGAGAATTGCGAATCCTATTTATCTGTGCAGAAATTCAATATGGCGTCCATTAGAAAATGCAAAGTTGCTGGTGGAGGTCAAGATATGAAACATCATACTGAAAGTCTAATTATGTCATCTCGTAGAGAAGAAAAAGTGGCAACAAAGCAATTTGCCTTGAAATTCCATCCCTCTCCGAAACTACTTTGAATTTGAAGCTTTCTAAGCGGCATTTTGTTGATTACCAATGGTGAGGTTCGAATTTGATAATACCGGCAGAGCGCCAAAACAGCTGAATCGCACCTCTTAGGTTTTGTAAAATATGCTGCAGCAGATAAAATATATCGCTGCCTTAACTAGACTAACCAGGTGAAATGAAAACAATTACTTTAATAACCTACAAGTATTATGTTTTAACACTCCATGTACAGACCACCAACACTCTTAGTATCAGTGGTGTAATAACGGTAGCACTGCATGTTCTGGAGTGTGTGAGGCCTGTGCATGTAAAATGGAGACTATCAGAAAGATTGGAAGATATGTCGTACTAATTTGCAACGACAGTGTACATTCGAACTGAGAAACACTGAAATTATAAATACCTTCGCTAAAAAGTGTGATGGCTTTGGCAAACTTCTTCCTTGTGCATGGTCGACTTGGGTTTATAACTAGTTTGGTTATGGATAGAAATACTACACCGTAATTTCTGTAATTCAAAGCATACTTTTTTAGTAGTCCAACAGTTTCCATTTCTATCTGAACTTTAATTCAAAAGTTGTCTTCTTTTTACAGGTGCCGTTAACTGAAGCAGAAGAAACTGAACTAGCTGAACCTCCTTTACCACCAATTCCAAGTGCGGTGAAATGACTGATATCATGCTCAACAATATTGTAGTATACGTATATTTGTTCTAAACATGTGTCTTGGTTCCGAATCTGGTTACCTTTTTGTTAGCGTTTGTTTCAAATGTTAAATGAAGGGATAGATATTGAAAGGATTATTGAATCTAAATTAATTCACAATAGATATCAGAATTATCATACAATACTGTTAAATATGAAAAGTTACAGCGTTTTGCTACACGGTGACATTAGTCCGACAGCGTAGAAGTATTAAAATTTAAAATGGCTGTACGCATATCTGCTTACGACATAACTTCAAAGAAAGGTATGTTGTTGACTTTATTACAGTCAACTTCGGCAGGTATATGGTTTTATTACAGGGCGACTCATGCAGATTTACTTCTGGATACTAAAGGTTTGCGTGTCTGCAACCGATGTATTCACGGTATACACTAACCGGAGCTATTTATTTCTGAACTGTATAAGTTAACTAGATGAAATTCGGGGTTAATAAAATTGAGACTTGGATACTATATTCTTCTACAGTAGAATCGTGGTATTTGAAAATATCAGGATGGCGGCTGGGGGCTAGTTTGGATCATTTCTTTAAATGAAATGGGTGATATCTCAGTTAGGAGCCTCTTATAAGCGCTTTATAGTCCTCTAGAATACTCTAGTACAGGGTGCGGCAGAGAGGATGGACGGTTTTAAAAAAAATCATAAAATAGTTAATTTTTACTCGAAAACAAATTTATTGATGGAATCAGGTTCACAAGGAAATAGCATTTGAGACAGTCAAGTGTGGAAAATCACATCAGGCATGTGGTGGCCGAAATCGTTAATGCAGCGCTGGAGGCATTCTTGGAAGTTCGCGTAGACTCTCTCCAACATCGCTCACTCAACTTGGGCGACTTCCACGCGAATTTCGCGGAGATCCATATGCAAAATTCGCCTTACCGAACGATCACTAAGGCGAAGTGCAGCAGCATGTTTCTGGGCAGATTTAGTCGGACGGCGAAGAAAGACCTGTCGAACGCGTTCAACATTTTCAGTAGTTCGAACTGTTCGCGGCGCTCCTCTTGGTCTTCTGTTGATCAGTTCACCACGTGTTTCGAGAGGGAACAGCTCTATTCCGATGAATGTTGAAGTGGCGAAGAAACTCACGCTGTACGACGATAACTGAATCATTATTTCGGACGAAACAATCATAGGCGAAAACGCGGTACTCCACCGTCCAAGGCTACATAACGACAACTGGTAAAATAATGCTAGGATCTCACGAGTCCAACCGCACCCTCCCCACCTCTCTCGTAGACGGAGGCGGAGAGTACTACCCATCCCAAAAACGTCGGCCCTCTCTGCCGCACCCTGTATAATATAGCTGTCCGTTAAAATCTGTCAAAGTAGAGCATTTACGTTTATTGAATCGCCCATAACTTACTATCCGCTACTGTATCTACCCATTTTGATATACAAATCTACAAATTTTAGCAATTTGTGAATTCTTTATTTCATATCTCGTTAAGTCCTTCCAGGAGAAGAACATTGAGATTAAATACCATAGCGCGTTGTTGATTGGTTGTTAAGTTGGGAGTGATTCAGTGCGAAAAAATACTAAGCTACGATAGTCTGCCAGTTCGCATTTTCAAGCTAGTGATTTTATGTTTCGGAGCTACAAAGCACTCATACCTCCAAAATGAGAGAATAATTATTCCTTCATTCCTCTTTGAGTTGGCGCTCAACATCTTGAAATGTTCAACTGCCACCTTTGCGCTAAAAATGTTTAAAATCGTTTACTGCCCATTTGGAGAGGAAATAATCCTATTCTCCAGGTGTTTCCAATTGAGATATCACATGACGACCCGTTTCTTTGACAAAAACATTTCAAGATGGCGCCTAGCTTTGGGATGTAACGTATACCATGCACAAGCGGTGCACTCTACAACCCTGCTCCTGCTTGAGACAACATTGGGTGGGATCTCTGTACACTGGAGACCAAGACGGTTAACATCCGCAGATAAATAGAAATTGAAGACCGAGATTACAGAACAAGGTAAACAATGTATAACAACAAACTGCAAATATGTATGGACGATTCGTGCACCCATTTTAGTTATATGCTGTAGCTTCGCGCTAATAACTTCCCCCTATTCCGTATCCATAGACCTACCCTCCTGCATATTTGCTGGAGATAATACTCGGTAAATATGAGTTGAAAGGGGAGGCGCGTAACGCAGGCGACATATTTGTACCTGCAGCGGTAAACTTGCTTATACCTATTTAAATATAGGAGGATTCAAAGGCAACATGACAAACAACAAAATATCCACCATTTTTTATAAAGCCAGGATGATGTTATTGCTGATTCTCCACTATACACAAAAGCTTTGTTGTGGTCTGGAAATCAAAACTGTGCAAGCCTACCTTCTTATGTTACACGTAATGTAATGTATGGTAGCAGCATCCATCCTAAGACCGCACTGCGTATTTCGAATACAAGCGAATAAGTATCCGCGTCCAAGCTTAATGAAACGACCGATGGCTAATTAACATTAATAACGTTTCGGATTCTCTGATGGCTTTCCAAAGTACATTAAAAATGAAAAATACGATATATTTCATTTATCTCCTACTACACAGTGTGTTCTAATAGCAGTCCGAACTGTCATGAACCAGACAGAGAATGCGCGGCACCGTCAGTATTACAACGTTAAAAATGAAAACGCGCAATCCAAACAACTCCATGGTGTAGGGTGTTCCAAAAACGAATTCCGAATTACTCGTGACAAGCACGTGGGAGCGGGACACGGCTTATGGGGATAAGTAGCTTGGTGGTCGAAGGTTTAGACGCCATGGAGCGATTCACGGGTGATCAGCGTGCGTTCTGTGTTGAGTCTGTTCCGCTCTGAGTTTAGTTTACATGATCTAAATCAATGTCCTAGTAAAAGTGTGATCATCAGGGCTAATATGCAAAAAAACTATAATATGTTGCAGACTAGGTAGTCTTTGGGGTGCAAATATTTGATTCCACGTTTGCTCGCTATGATCGCTGTGAGCGTCCATCTATGGAGGAATTACTCAACTGCACGCATTGTTTGTTGCAGCAAGCAAGTATATCTATGTTTTGTGAAGCCAAGCAGTCTGTAGTGTGTATCTCTGAGAAGATGTGGAAAAAGGAAGGTTGTTTGAGTAGCATATGGGTAAATATGAGTATTGGTCTGCATGGTTATAAAATCATTCATATTTGGTATGTGATAAATTATTATTGAATATGCTGCTAATGAAGTATATCTATTAGCTGTGCCCGACGGGTTACTAGTGTTTTCAAAAACTTGGCAGAGCATTACGGGAAATCGCCACCGCGTCCGCATTACAAAAAAATTAGGAATGATGCATCACACTTCAAACATTTTCGCGATGTCTCACTTCTAGGCTCTGACTTATATTTTCTAATGATATCGCACAGCAAATTTCTATAAAAATTTAATGACTGGAAATAAGAAATTATGTAATAACCTTTTTACTTTCATAAATATTCCTGTTTGTAGCATATTTTCTCACCTGTTACTCCACCAACCAGGGATTTTCTTTTCTTATCGCTCTCATATTTGTAATTGATCAAATTTGCATATGTAATTTCCAGAAAGAATAAGGAAAAATGGATGCGCAACTAATTTCTTCTAGCTTTGAATCTCAAGTAAGTGTATCTGAGAGAAGAAACCAATGGAATTACGTTTGATTCCATCTATAGTATAAAACTTAGACCTCCAATAATGCCATCTCTGAGTCAGATGTTACATCAAAGCTGAACATTGAAAACTGAAGCATCATGACTTTTAGGCCATATGTACAACTACAAAGCGAGTTCACAGCAAGTGCCCATCAGCTGGTGTTAACATCTTGTTAACCTACGTTATGTCAAAAGAGAACGACCTAATGTCACCTTTCAAGATACGTAATACCGACACGGATATCACGTATCTTGAAAAGTGACATTATGCCGACTTTTCTCGACATTGTATTGGTTTTTTCTGACATGTAGGTTTGTCTAGAAGATGTTAACTTAGCACTTAGTTTTATGTGTAGCCTCATTCTCCTAAAAGTTTTCCGTAGTTTCTAACTTTCTTAAGAAGGCTCAACACAAATAACTCGTCGGGCACAGTCAATAGATATACTTTCTTGGCAGCATATACAGTAATGATTTACTCACACAGCAAATATCACTGATTTTATACACATGCAGACCAAAACACGTAATCATCCAGATGCGATCTGGCTATTCAACCAACATTCTTCCCAGAGATTAAAACTATAGATTACTCGGCTTCACAAAACGTATGCAACCAGCAGTGCGTGTAGTTGAGCTATTCCTCCATAGACGGACGCTCACAACGATCCTAATGAGCAAACGTAGAATGATTGTTTGCACTGTAAAAGCTACCTAGTCTTCAAGATAACATTTTATATTTTTTTTACGTTTTATAGGTTTTTTACTTAATACCCGTGTCGTGCAGGTCCTGGGTCGAAATTTTCCAGTCTGTCGGTTTGACACTGAATCAGAAACCAGGGTCAATACGACCTGTAGAGCAGCTGAGCTCGCCATATCAAAGACATCTGTAAAGCCTATTTTGGTAAAAGACCTTAAATTGTACCCATATAGACTTCAACTAGGATAAGCATCTCTACTGACAGAACACCAAAGAAGCAGGAATTTTACAAGAGAGTCAAACATGAACTGGATCAGCGGGTTGCTGCAGAAGAGAAGAAGATCAGAATCAGATATGTAAATGGCCTTAAACTGAATAGACCTAGCGGCGACGAATTTTGAGCATATTATCAGAATGTTAGGGGTTTGAACTCCAAAACTGACGATTTATTTTCATCAGCATCCTTGAACGAATATGATCTAATTGGTTTGTGGAAACTATGCTGTCTGACAAAGTTCGCCACTCTGGAATGTTTCCAAGGAGCTACAGTATTTTTTGTGGTGATCGTGATTTTGCAAGATCAAATAAATTGTCTGGACCTATTGTTGGCATGTAAAACGAGTTTAATGTCGGAGCGTATCTCTTTGGATTTTTCCACTGATTAC